ATTATGTAATTTAGATTATATTAAACTATACAATTTAAACTATTAGATGATAATGAGACTTATGATATAACCTAATCCAATAATTTTTATTTTACAATTTAGTGTAATCCTACAAATTTTTTAAAACTCTAAGGAAAAATATCAAACTACAAGACATAAAATCTTAAATGAATGACGAGTCTTCTTTATCTAATAGTTTTTATTTTACAATTTTTACAGTAAAAGAGTTTACTTTATATTTTTAAATACTTATATTACTGCTAAAGCACTTTTAAGAACTCCTTATGTCACCTTAAGTCCTTATTCGACTTTGCCTTGGATTTGAATAACCGACTAATAAAAACTATTATAAATTGAGCAGTCCCTTCCCTTCTCTTCATTCAAGCACCACAGAGATTACCTTACCCAAACTATTCCTCCTTTTTCTCTCTATTTTTTTTGAGCGTCCTCTTTTCTTACGATTTGTCTCTCCACGATGCCATTGGATATGGTAGATAATTACCTTGACGTACAAGAAATAGATTTTCAGGACCCTGAAGACGAGTCCTATCCGGGTATCCTTTACATCATTGAAGTTGATGCTAGGTTCACGTATTTTCCAAACGATGAAGACGATGATGTAATGGCAGCGATGGAGAGGGTGGAAGCAGAAACCTTCGAGGTTAAAGCCGAAGACTTGACTAAAACTTTGTTGCGCACCATGTTTCTGTCCATGGCTATGCCCGTGGACGATCACATGATGGAGAAGGTTTTGGCGTGCGCTAATAGGATGGCCCAGAGTGACCCTTACCGGAATCGCAAGGTGAGGCGGATGAAAGTGAAACTGGATATTTTTGTGAATGATCCCTCGTCGTCTGTGACAGAGGTGGAGGCGGCCGGCGTTAAACTGTTGAGTGGTTAGAGATGTTAAGTTAGGGTTTTTCAATTTTTTTTTTCTTAATTGGGATTTGATATATAATTACTGAATGTTTTCCTAATTTGAAGCTTTTTTTATTAGATGCGAAAAGTTCGGTTCTTTATCTGTAATATAAAAGTTTAAAGCGCAAAGAAGTGATTCATATCGTTCTTGAGATAGAGCTTGGTAGGAATGTTGGCTCTGTTTTGCTTTAACTAATCAATTTCTAAAAGTTTTGCTTCAAATTAATTGTTGTTTCTATTATTTTAAACACATTTTTTTCAATAGTAATTAGAAACAACAACAATCACT